ATTTGAAAACCCTTTTTGTTTTCTAGAATCATGTAATCCAGCTCACTTTGTTTCTGTTTTTTTTCCTTAGAAAAACTGGATAGGATCAACCTGAGCTTGGACTATTTAAAGGTCCCATATTATGCTTTTTCTGGTTTTATATGTCCATTAGTGTGTTTTCCATGTATTGTGTGCATGTTTAGGCACATCTATTTGCAAAAATTCAAAGTCTGTGGAAACGCGGCTTCTCCTACGTCATCCTGTTAGCTGTAGCATTAGCTGCATGTAACGCTCGGTTCTAGCCCCCCTTGAAAGAAATGTGTCAGTGTGACGTCTTGTCAGTGTGAGATCACTGATCTAAGCCCATTGGCTCGTTGTGGTAAGCCCTGCAGCTCATGTTGCACGCCCGTTAACTTCTGTAGCACGCCCACGATATGCCGCAGCCTGCAGTAGTAGTGCTTAAGGTGCTAATGTTTTTGCTCCCCGGCCCTCGGAGCCAGAGTGGCTGAGCGACTGACCAATCAAATCAGACTTGGCACACGTGGGGACTCTGAACTTTGGCACTTCAGAGCCTTAGAGAGAGAGTCAGAAGCGAGCAGGTGCATGTCCACAAGGGGCACCACAATCCAGACAATCTAAAAGATTCCCACAGTGACTTCAAATGACATAAAAAATGTTCCTGTGCTGCATGTCATCCCCCACTCTCCCCCCCGCAATATTTCCCGTCTCTTTACATCTGTCCTATCTAACAAATGCCAAAAGGCCAAAGAAAGAACTTGGAAATGATATCCTTCGTCTGACACCATGTTGTATTGACGTCACTCTGACATCTCTGTAGACTGACACTACTCAGATTCACACAATACATTACACCCATTACAGGACGATTTCCTTTTTTTTAAAAATCCAAATACTAGTGCATATATATTCAAACATGTCATAAAATATTGACTGCTTTGTAAAAATGTTGTTTTGTTTTATATCAATGTAATGGTTTTTTTAATTTTCATTGTGATTTTAAAAGACATTCTGCCACAGACACATTACTGCCACACACATACATGAGTTCATGTTGAGTTTCAGGGTCAGCAGCACGTTGCTTATGGCTCCAGTCGAGGCCTGCAGTAGTAAGTGTGTGTGTGTGTGTGTGTATGCATAAATTGGAGCCATGCATGTGTAAAACTGATGGTGGGAGCGTGTCTTGAACGTGCACCGCAGAGCCGGGTGTTGTGATTGGCCGACAGTGGCCTATTTTACCCTGACCTACATTCCAGTGGGTGTGACCTGAGACGGGGTCAAAAGGTCATGATGTGTATGGTGTCACTCAAGAGGTTGGCGGTCACTGAATGTATGTTCGACATCCAACATGCAGCTGACGATGTCTCGATGTCTAAAGAGATTTAGTTAGTTAGACATAGGAAGTAAACAGTAACTCATATGTAATCATATATGAGATTGTATCACTCATGCATCAATGCATTGGTTTCACTATTGCATTGAGCTGCTGGTCAATGTAGAGCTGCCTTGTTTTTATGGTGTTTTCACACATGCAGAAAACTACAGAAATTTCTCAATTTTTTTGGGGTGAACTGATGAGATGTTCATGAAACTTCAGTGCAAATGTTTTCATCCCATGAAGGGGGAGCGACTGGTGCATTCTTTGTGCAGGTAAAGAAAGCGGCTCTGTACTCTTTCTCACTCGTTCGCTGATACTGTGACTAAGTCCAATTACACGTGGCATTGATATAAAAGTTAAGAAGCTGTCATACAGTGTCGGACTCTCGTCACTCCATCTACCATCAAGAAGTCAGGCATTGGGGGGGAGGCTTGATTATATACAGTTAACTGTTTTATTTTTCGTTGAGGACTTTTCTCGGTTATTCACTTTCATTGAGAAATAAACTATTCTTATTCCTCTTTCGTCCTTGATAAATATTTTATATGAAATCTTGGAAATGGTTCAATTTTAAGCAGGTTATGGTGCCGTAATGAACCGGGATGACCTTTGACCATAGACACATAGTAAGTAAGTTAACTGTATTTTTAGGATATAGAAATGTGATGCAGTCAGGGGGTGTGGCACTGCGTCTACTCAGGACATCAAAAAAAGTTATACTTATGTGCTTCTGTGCTGCAGGTAATAGTGAAAAATTGCTGATGGGCTAAAAAGCAAAAAAACAAAAGCACAAAAAACGTCCACAGGCTGAGATAGATGGTCTTTTTTATTCAGACATGAGTGGTCAAGAAAGTAGTCGGTAAATATATCGGCGAACGTTTCAGTCCTTGCTTGATGAGCACACACTGGAGCTGACTACCAGTTCGAAGCCTCTATTTTGGAATTTCCCACTTGATTTGGGTCAAAATTGACCATAATTGGACAAGAAGATGGGTATGCATTATTAAGCCCCCGGCCCTAATGACAGTTCGCCATGGTTACGAGCTGTAAATCACAGGTAGCCATTTGTCGTCTATTACTCTAAAGTAAAAATAAACCCATAAAATGACCATCATGTGGCATTGAAGAAGAGGAGGCAGGTATGGAGGCCATAAACTCATTCTGTATTTGTTTATGGAGGTTATGTATCAAGAAGTAGGATGCCTTAACAACCAGTGCAGTCACCTGGCCATTTGATAGACTACAGGTGCAAGACAATTCTGCAAAGGCATTTTTAGAAAGTGGTTGTGTCCACTTCTACTATGTAATCCATGTTAACACGAGAGGAGTTTCCACTTATATAATAGATTTTTAGCATCCTTTTGGGCTGAGTGCTAAAGAAAAGTTTAACATAGAAAGTCCTCTTAATGTCTACAATGATATCTTTCAGTTGGTAGCAAACTTAAAGTTTATTTGAACCAGTAATGTTTTCTCAGACAACAATACCAAACTTCTTTTTTTGTTATACTCTTGTCTTCACTTACAAGAAAGAGAGACGTCAATCAAAGCAGCTTTCTTTACCGTTTAAAGGCTTAATCAAGTGTTGTCCTTGTAAATATGATTTCATTACTCTCCATTCAACTAGGCCCATTTGGACTCAGCTAATTTTAGGGATTTTTGGCCAAGATGGACGAGCAGTTTTTCTCTTGAGACTAAATACAATCTGAGTCACGGTCAAACTCTCTGTGCTTCTATAAACTTTAGTGAAGGTAATCACGGTTAATTCATAAGAAAACTTTTAGACATAAAGCCTGAAGCAGTTTTAACCATCTTTATTCTGTTAATAAGTCCAGTTAAAAATAAGAATGCTACTTAAGTAGAATGAATGTGATAATCTTAAGAGCTAAAAGTCCACTTTCATCTCTGTCTCAGACTGTATTCTTGCTCTTTCTTTCTAAGGGTGAAGTTTAAAAATGTCTTTCACTATCAGCAGTTTTGTTTCACAATCACATATTCTCCACCTAAACTCTCACAGTTCAGACTGAGACACGTTTCAGGTCTGAAAGAAAGATCACAACCTGACCTTGACCAAGTGTCTTTGGATTCTATATGTGTCGTTAGAACATATGCAGTGATTATATGAGGAGGACATTCAACACATAAATATCACAACTACCCAGCTGCCCTTTGTTCAACTTGTCAACAGGAAAACGTTTGTTACTTTTATTATAAACCCATCAAAACAAGCAGGAAACATGTCACAATGCACTGAGGAATTAGGCGCGTAGCAAAAGTTTGGAGAGAGATCAGAACAAGAACAAGTTCAACTTGAGGCAACACAGGAATTTCAGCACACTGTAAAACATGAGAAACTACACTGAATTTAATTTTAATTCAATTTAGTGTAAGTTCTCCGACTGTAAAAAGAAAAACAGTAAGAATCAAAACTGAAAGTGTAAAACAGATCGAGGTCATAATGAGGTCAGTAATGATGAACTATATAGATGCACTTGAACTCACCAGCAAATAACAGATTTGTTTTGTTTTTTACGCTTCGCTGTATCATTAAGGGTTTGCACATTTTAAAATAAAGTTTAAAACACTGCAAGTGTGATGCGATGGTCTGCATGTGTGTGTATCTTCTTATCTTAGACTGTGATGTTACCCCACACACACACACACACACGTATTCACAGTCTGCCCTCACGGGGGTCAGGCTGAAACTGTAAACCAGCAGAAAGTCAATGTTATATTTAGTCTCAGTCCAGGTAGCTGCACGGATACACTGCAAAGAAAATGAATTGATTTATTTGGTCTAAATTAACTACCAAAAAAAGTTGCAATAACAAATTTGAGTGAGTTTATCAACAGAAATGATTTCGTTCACGTGATACACGAACGGTCAGAGTGGGGATTTTGAGGTTCATGCCAGATAGGACTATATTTAATCATGCCTGAGTCAATGGGGAACGTGAGAAGGCAGAGTGAGGAGATGTAAGACTGCCCGTTCCCTGCAGGTTTAATCTCACACTGAACAAACTCGAGCTTATGGTAGCACTTTACGTGGAGGTATGGGAGAACGTGATTATTTTGTGTTGGTTAAGGTGGAATAAAATGTAACTTCATTATAAATATCGCGGTTTCGAAACGGGAAAGTAAATATGTATCTCAATATATCTCAATCGCAATAAACAAACTAATCAACACGAGCATTATCCTAAAAAAAATGTTACTTCTTTCCCACTGATAAATATAATAGTCAAAAATAACTTAACTTGTAACTTTTATATCAATAAAAAAAGCTTGTTTTTAAATGAACGAAGCAGCAACGTGACTGCATGGAAAAAAACAGATGAAGGCATTTTCCAAATAACGCATACTTCAAATTTAGATGTTTATATTAAATCAAATGTTCATAGTTTGAACATGTTAATACGATTCTGATGATATACTGTACGATCAACCAAGTGAAGCGACTCATAATGTTTATGAACTTTTTCCACTAAATAACAATAGAAAACATGTAAACTCCTCATCCGGGTGATGCATTCCACCACAGTGTGGCGCTGTGGCTCCCTCTGTGTGCGTCATGTCGTCATCGCGGTCACGTTGCTTCCCGGCCGAGCGGGGTTAAATAGCGGATGTGTGCCGCAGACCGGCAGATTATCCCGGCTCAGTGTGTTCTGCCGACATTTCTCTGTACGACCCGGTTTCATTTCGCCTGAACGGACGAGGCTTATCTCCAACAACCACCGGTACTCCAGAGGTCTTTTTTTTTTAAGTTTTATTAATCAGGACTTTAGCGGCTCGGTTCCCGTTTTACTGCGCCGCTCTCCAGTTCCTGAGGAATGCCCCGGGAACTGACCCAGAACAGGATCCAAAAGATCTGGATTCCCACTAAGGATGACAAGCCGTCACCAAGAAGAGGTAAAGTCCTCTCATATTCTTTTAGCTTTCGTGTATTTTCGCATACTGTAACACACAATGATCAGTGGTCAGTTTCTGTCTGTTCTTTAAGGTTTCAGTTATCGGCTCCTTTTGTCTTAAAGACTTTGGAATTGTGTTGCTATGGTGATTGTAACTACTACTGAAGCGCGTAGCAACACGACACTTCTGTTCCTGTAATACCACCTTAAAAACGCCGGTTAGTGGAAGTGATAAAGTAACTTTAAAGCCTAATTTCTCTCATGTATTCTTCAATAGCGTATCGCCGCTTTAGCTGTATTAATGTTGGTTAAATACGACCCATTTCTGCTGTGAGGTGGGATTCTGTTTCTTACTCTTGTCTTTTTACTCATCTTCTTATCGTCACGGACCGCTCCGGTCACCATGGATACAACATTTCTCCGCAACCTGTGTCTGGTGCTTTAGAAAGGGTGCTGTCTTCTAATTGGTCGGAACGAAGCGCGTGTTGTGCATGGTGCGAGGCTGCAGCTGGAAATCAGAGAGTATAGGGATGAGATTATTAACAAGGGGTGTAGCCTATAGTATGCTCAGAAAACTGGGATTTTTAAAGTGATTAAGCAGTTTATCACCACTGAATATCATTGAGTTGCCTCTTCCTTTATCATTTGTTTATCAAAGCTGAGGACAGAATTTCAATATATGTAAATTAAACCAAAATAAAGAAAACCAAGCAACTCTCAGCCTGGTCCCTCTCATCCTGTTCTCTCAAATTTGTCAACCAAACTCGGATAAGTAGGTTTGTAAACATTGTGGCTCAATTATTGAACAACAGAGGAAGGTTTTCCCCATTGCTTATCTTTGTTTTTAAATGGTAAATGAATTAATGCTACAACTAAGGAAACTCAAAATCTTTATATAAATATCAAAGCAACTGTATGATGAAGATGACTACAATTATTATATTGAAATGGAGTAGCTGCAAATCTGGATTCACGTTTATGCTTCTGCTGCTCATTGATTATTAGGATATAGGCCTAGTGGTTTATTGATCTGTGAGGAGAGAATCACATTTTCTATGCTTTCATTTTCTTGTGCCTGAGATCTGATTTAGAATTCTGAGTTGGGTCAGCGTAATAAAACCTTTTATCAAAAGACAATTATTTTCAGAAAGTGGTAGGAGGAAATTGGATGGGATGCTCTACAGTAGCTGATACGGTGATGCAAGAGAGTGTTGGAGGATGATGAGTAAACAATTTGAGTGTAGATGATGTGGTTTTGTGTTCTACAGAAGATTAGCAGCAGTGTGAGCAGGTATGGATTAGCTCTCGTGGTCAGGCAATCTGCATTGCTGAAAATCTCTGGAAAATAACTTGCTAAGGAAATAAGGCATTTCAAGTCAGGACTGCTTCAGGGAAAGGTGAATTTCTTCAATTGTTTTTGCACAATTTTAGTGACCCTCAGAAAAGAGGGGAACTAGCAGCACTAACATATCTTAAGTTAAAGTCTCTCATGTGCCTCAAGGGTGGGGTTACAGTATATTTGGTCAATGTGAAGCAGCTCATCCTGGCTCGAGTGAGCAGGTTCAAAGAGCGCAGAAGTGGGTCAATGTGCAGTGAGATGTGAATTATGGTCTGGCGACAGCAGACGGCCACGTGCATGCTGGGAGTGTGTCAGCGTGAAGAGAAATAGAGATTATAGCTGCAGCGGTTGCTTTAATCACTGCTTTTGGCGAGGATGCCGCTCTTGATTTGTGTTTTTCCTCAGGTTGTGGACTCTCAGGTCACTGATTCTATTTGTGCTGCACTACATACTCTGCTTGTTCTGATGACATGTACACCTTTTGCATTCCTCTCTGCAGCGGCATGCGCTCCCCACTTTTCCAACGCCCCCACCGTCATCGTGATGGTGGGTCTTCCAGCTCGCGGCAAGACGTACATGTCAAAGAAGCTCACCCGCTACCTCAACTGGATCGGCATGCCTACCAAAGGTACACAAACACTCTTCAATCGTGAGCACAGTCAGTGTGTTTAGTAGCGTATCAGTTGCAGGGTGACACTCTGTTCCTAACAGCATAACTCCTGTTCCCACCTCCAGGACTTTGTGTTAATATATGTTGCTCCTTCTGCTTGTAGTGTTCAATGTTGGAGAGTACCGAAGGGAGGCGGTCAAGAATTACAGCTCCTATGATTTCTTCAAGCCTGATAACGAGTGTGCCGTGAAAATTAGGCAGTAAGTGCAACACAAATACATATAGCCGGTTTAATATATATGTATTAATAACACAAAAAGTAACACTTCCACTGTCTCTGTTCTTCAGGCAGTGTGCCTTAGCTGCCTTGAGGGATGTCAAGTCCTATTTGAAGGATGAGGGAGGCCAAGTTGCGGTGAGTTTCCCATCATGCATGACTTGTTTTTGTTTTTTTAAACCTCATCGTGATGTGGGAAATGTTGGAAACCTTTTCTAATGAGCCGTATTTTTCAGGTCTTTGATGCCACTAATACGACGAGAGATCGACGTGACATGATCCTCAAGTTTGGCAGTGAGAATAGCTTCAAGGTGAGTGTTGTCATAGCAACCAGAGGAGTCAACATATAAGAAAAAAAAAAAGTCAGCCACTTTAACCATGTTATTTCTTCATGCACAGATTTTTTTCATCGAGTCTGTGTGCGAAGATCCGAGCGTCATCGCATCAAACATCTTGGTAAGTCACAGACACGACGTCGCCCTTTCTTCCTCGCCCTGTGCGAAACGACATTAAACGTTTCTAATTCTCTGGAATCAGGCGTGTTGTTTGCCGTCTGACAGTCTGCCCTCACTCTACAGGAAGTAAAGGTGTCCTGTCCCGACTACCGCGACTGCAACAAGACCGACGCCATGTTGGATTTCCAGAGGAGGATTGAATGCTACAAAACCAGCTACCAGCCTCTGGACCCTGATCATTATGACAGGTAATAATCAGCATTTGTTACATTTTTTAAGCAATTTTTAATACAAAGTCCTAAATGAATAAAGGATAGGATAGGATGCACTTTATTGTCTCCTTGGGTCCAAGTTGTCTTGGACTCAAGTGCCACACATTAAGCTGCCTCAATACCTTTATTAAATAAAAACAATTAAAATCCAACAACATCCATCCCATTCTGATTGCACCCTTTTTTTTCCAGGGACCTCTCCTTCATCAAGGTGATAGATGTAGGGCGACGTTTCCTCGTCAACCGCATCCAGGATCACATCCAGAGTAAGATCGTCTACTACCTGATGAACATCCACGTGCAGCCCAGAACCATCTACCTGTGCCGGCACGGCGAGAGCACCGACAACCTGGAGGGGCGGCTGGGAGGTGACGCAGGACTCTCCCCGAGGGGCAAACAGGTACACGCAGCCTCAGACCGAAGCATGAAAGAACACACGGTGAACAGTATTTTTTAAAAACATCATAATGGATGAACTTCAGGTGTTTAAATAGTGCTCCGTGCTTTTGCTTTAGTTTTCGACTGCTCTGGCTCGGTTTGTGGAGGAGCAGCAGCTGAAGGATCTGAAAGTCTGGAGCAGTCAGCTGTGTCGCAGCATCCAGACTGCAGAGCACCTGGGAGTCCCGTATGAACAGTGGAAGGCTCTCAACGAGATAGACGCTGTGAGTGCAATTCTCACAAACTCTGTTCACACCTACTTACACAGCGATATAACATGTTGCCTAACTAACATATTATCCGGTGGATGTATTTCTTTTTTCAGGGAGTGTGTGAGGAGATGACGTACGATGAAGTGAAGGAGAAATTCCCAGATGAGTTTGCTCTGAGGGATGAAGATAAATTCTACTATCGCTACCCTGCTGGAGAGGTAAACACAGCTACTGCATACCTCGCTTAAAAAATACATCAAAAAAGTACATAACTGGAACCAAAAGATTATTTGGATACAATAAAAAAGTGCAATGCATGAACAGCTATGAGTAGAAGGGTTTGATTGTCTAGAATCATGGAAAAGTAAGCAACAGTAAACAAGCCCATCCTCCTGATTGCAGTCCTACCAGGACCTGGTGCAGCGGGTGGAGCCGGTCATCATGGACCTCGAGAGGCAAGAGAACGTCCTGGTTATCTGCCACCAGGCCGTCATGCGCTGCTTGCTGGCCTACTTCCTGGATAAGAGTGCTGGTGGGTAACTTCAACTCCCATAATCCAACTGGTTAAATGACATCATTTCATCTAAATATGAGTTATGATACTGCAAACTGATGCCACTGTGTTGATATTTACGTTTTTCCTTTAAATTGTTTGTTCTAGATGAGATGCCCTACCTGAAGTGTCCCCTCCACACAGTGCTGAAGCTCACCCCTGTGGCCTATGGGTGCAAAGTGGAGTCAATCTCTCTGAATGTGGAGGCGGTGAACACCCACAAGGACAGACCCGAGGTAAAGCTCGACAGGCCGATTCCTCAGAAGTTTCTGCTCATTTGTAGAAACAGGACATAGCTTGGGCTCTGTCTCTGAGTCTAAGTGACACATGTGTTTTATTTGTTACTCTGCAGGAGGTGAAGAGGGGCCCTAGCATCTTGATCAGGAGGAACAGCGTGACTCCTCTGACCAGCCCTGAGTCAAACATCAAGAAGCCTCGCATCGATGACCTAGATGAAGCTCCGATTCAGGATCTGCCTCCAACTGTTGCCTCACTGGCCCTCTGCAGCCCCTCACACCTCCCTCTCTCCCTGGCTGGACAGGTAGGCTTCTCTTGAACACACACAAGATATTACCAGGAGTAGGCTGACTCAGGTTTCTTGAGGCTAGAGCCAATTGAATAGGACGCAAAAAGCTGATGTCATTTTTTTTCTTCATCTGTTTCCTTTCTGATTGGCTGCAGATACACTGCATGCATGTTTGCTCACTTGTTTCCCATCCTCTCTTCCTCTGCTGCCTTCTTCTGCTCTGCACGTCACAGCATTGGTTGGGCAAAGTTTGCCTGTAAGTATCTGCTCACTTCTCTATTTCTGTCTGCCTCGCTCTGTTTTGTCTCAGCCATTTACTCACTTCCTGTCTCCGTGATTTTGTTCACGTTGTGGAAACTGTGGGAGTTTTTCTTTTCCCTGACTGCAGTTGTAATGATTATTGAATTACATGTCAGCAAACTGACGTTCTACAGAGGAGTCTGATTTGTTCAGACTTAAGTGGGAGTGAGGGAAAAGAAAAAAAAAGCCTTTCTTCTGTATTTGTTCATGGAGAACGCTCACTTCCCAGTTTACATTCCTCTGATTCCTGCCTGCTGTCGTCATCACAACGTGCTTGTCGTACTACGTTGTTTCTTGCTGACTGTCTCTGTGTGTTTGTTTTATTTTTGGCCCTTGCTTTCCTGCTTTAAGACGAACCGTCCTCCAATATCTGAAACTGGTTTCACTCTTAGTCTTTCAAAGGTAAACACACGTTAGAGGCTTTTCAGTCGCTTCATAGATCTGCCAGCAGCCACATCTGATAAGAAAACTCAACTTCAGTTTGCAGTAGTTTCATCATTTAATCATTAGAAATGTCTCCATTTCAAGGCAGATTTTAAAAAAAGTTAACCAAATAATTAAAGCAGCACAAATGCAACATGCTAAAGCTTGAGCTAGATATACTTGTTTAGTGCTACTAGAGTGCTACATGCTAACAAGCTGACAATACTACCTCCCTTAATCAAAAAGATCACTAACGGGGTGTTCTGTTCCTGTTTTTTAATTAGTTTATTTAAAAGGGACACATGCAATGAACATGGCTTCATATGTGAAAGATACAAAGTACATGCCATGCATACAGGTTTCTAACCATGGCTAATTTGCAACCCCTGTCCCTGGCTGTCTTCCTTTCAGAAAAAGGCAGAGAAAATAATCGTATGGATTCAACATGAATATATCTTGAATGTTATCTAAATAGCCCCTCAGCAGCCTCATTAAGCAAAGACGTGTAAAAGATCTACATTGGATTAGATGAAAATACTGTTAAAGTTTTTTCCTCATTTTGGTCTTTTTTATCGTCAGTTTACCGTACTCAATTTTGTTGGATTCACTCGGCTCTATCTATCCTCCACTGACTTCAAAGATGGATATTTACCATAGAATACCGGACAATTTTAACAAGAGCGGATAAATAAACACACAATAAACTTCACTGACTGCATCAGAGGAAGTGGCATGTCTACGCTAGCTTCTCCGTCACAGCGTGGATAACTCTGTTGGGCGTGTGAAGATCTTGGCAGCTTCATTCATAATCACCTGAGGACCAACTCGCTGCACGTCTCACACACCCAGCAACCTGTTCCCACACTCATGGGCTCGTTGCTATATTTCACGCCCTCTAAAAATATCACAGAGGATATGAGGGCCTGAGAAAGCACAGCTGAGGAAACTTGTGGTTTAGGGATTACGCTGCATGAGAGGGTACAATAAGGCCAGGGTTCACTTATGTAAGAGCTCTGTGTTGTGAACTCCTTGGCCACTAAATGTACTGTGTTGAGCAAAGAATTATCTAAAGGTCTTACTTAATATGTGTTTCTTCTTTTTTTGTTTACAGAACCTGAGGAGAAACTCATCTCGTCATGAAATCCTGCAGGCCTGCCAGTGAACTTACTTGACAACTTTTCACCCGACGACGGACTCACTGAAGATAATAATCGCATTGTGTTGTCAATGAAGGACACAACTAACCTTTAATTGTTCAAAAAGGACCATGGTGATTGAATGTCCTTTCACATATGTGTCATTTTCATAGTGTGGGACTCTTAAATACTCCCTTCATTGCCACTGTCAAACATTTTTTTACTCTTTGAGACTGCTTAATCTGTCATTCCTGTTGTCTTTGTTATGACTGAAAGAGGTAAACTGTGACTCATTTAGATCAAGGGCCATCTCACCGCTCCGATGGCTCTCTGACAAACCAGTCAGATCTGGTTTATTATTCAAAGAGACCAAAGACCAACCCTGATTCTTAGGTTACACGTTCAGCGCATATCTTTTTTCAGCCTAATCATTTTGAAAAAGACTTAGGCACTCCTTTTTTTTGTTAACCTTTTGGCACTTCTTTGGAAGCACTGGGGCGTCATTATGTAATTCACTTCCTTTTTTATGCCACAAAATAGCGATTTTTGTTTTGCACAGTCGGGGACACCATTTTTACTTTTGATCGTTTTTTTGTGTGTCACTTTGTGTTTTCTATGTAATGTAACTTCACAGTAATGGAGGAGACTACTTATGCCGTAGAGTGCCTGTAGAGCTTGTTTTGCAAGCCTAAATGCTGCTTCTCTTTGCTCTTCCTCTGGGAGTAGAGGCATCACATTTCACCTAATAACTCCACATATCATTTAAATCCTTAACTTTCACAGTATGAAGAGGATTTTTTTTAAATGTAGTTTCATGTCAACAGAACATGCTAATCATTTAACAATAGTTCCCTCCACTGATGGGAAACTTCATTTTCAATGTTTCAAATTTTCCTTTTGCTGTCTATGTCTGAAACGCACAAATGTAAGCACCTATATTTTTGTGAAAACAATGCGTGCTGTTAATAATATCTTTGTAAATGTTAGTGTACATACAGAATAACTGGAAATGGATGGATGATGGCATGGGACTCTCTCGGGAGTCTTTGAATGATGGTGTGTTTTTGTACTTGTGTCAGGACTGAATGTGAAGCACGAATTGATGAGAAAGACGCTACTGCTTACCTTTCTCAGTAAAACTTTTGTTAACATGTTTGCTTGAGATACTTGAATGTTTTTTTGTAAACTGTTTTATTATATTCTTAATTTATTTGTATTTAGTTTGGGATGACTGCTTGGAGCGAAGGCCCCTTGTTTTAACCTGAGGACTATGCATGAGAGTATGTTGAAGAGTTGATTTTGCATCCGCTGGACCAATAAATGAACTCCTGGAAAAATATACACTGCTCCTTGACTGCTTGTTTTTTATTGTCCAATTATGTATGATATTCTGTCAACCCTTCTTGTTTCCTTTTATGGAGCTAATCTGAAGTGTCAACAGTGAGTCCTCCCTTAACTAGCATTCACAGGATCCATGAGTCATGCAGTACGAGTTGCATGTTTATCAGGCTGATCGTGACCAGGTGCATTCAGGAAGTTACAGTGGAATCTCATTAGACTAAATAAATAAGCTACCTCTCCAACAAGACTGAGTGAAAAATAAGGCTGCTGTAAACAGACTAAAACTCTGACTAGGGTTTATTAGGCAGATTAAAAAAATATAATTTGCGGGCAGACTTATGTATGAGGAGGAGGTCTTAATTAATTAAAGATATATCTACATTTGGTTCCAGAAGTGATACAAAAATGCTTATAATATGTTACAAAATCATTGCAGATGCTATTGAGATATTACACACCATCAACAATGACTAAAAATGACAAAGTAAAAACATGTGGTTTAGCAAGGGTGACCATGCATTTGATTTGACCAGGACCGCCCCTTTTCCAAGCTCTGTGTCCTGGTCAAATCACAAATATCTATAAAACACTAATAAGTCCTGGTTTTGAACTTGTCCGCATCTTTGCTTCAACCAACCAAAACTATACACCATGCATGCGCCACTGGTCCGTCTGTATAGATGTCTATCAACACTGTTGCCAAGGCTATTGCTGTTTTAACCAATAGAAAAACACAATTAATGCACAAAGAGTCAAAGTTCAACACTGATTTGTCTGTATGTGTCAATTTAATCTGTGACTGTTGCTTAGTTATAGCCTTGCCTATCATACTAACAGGAGCTGCTAGGCTAGCTGTCATGCTGAAAAAAAAGTCAGCATATTCCATAGAGCTCCAGGAGAGTCACAACTTTCTTTGAAAAGTACCAGGCAATGAATGTGCTCCATGCATCTTCACCATCTCATGGTGAAGATGCCAACAATTCAATTCATATGAAAAGGAGCAAACACAAATGCAGATCATATTGTGCAGGTAAACAACAAACTGTCTACATTTTTCAAACCAAACTATGGCAGACAGTCACAATTTACTTTTGACCTTACAATAATTCAAAATTGTAGTCTGAAATGTTCGGTCAACATCACAGTTCATGGGAGTAAAACACGTATTAAGCCAAACTTTTTTGGTCTTTGGCAATTTCTGTATAGGCTACATTGCTGCAAGTTTTGAATTTGTAGCCTAGCTTGTGTTTACACTAATCAGTCTTTATTTAATAAAGAATATTTTCTTTCAATGGCCTTTTTCCATGAGTACATTATCTGATACCTTTACTGCTCCCTGCTCTGTAAATGCTTTTTTTCTAAAGGTTAACATTTTGTTCAACTGCCATTGGTGCAGTGAAAAAGTAGTTTGCAAAAGTAACTAACAATTTAGTAGGAATATATGGTGTGATAACTACAAAGAGTTTGTGACCACCTTATATATTATCATGGGAATAAAAGTGCATTTCATGCAAGAAATGACGTATGGGGCTATTCGAGTTGCTGCAGTGGCAGGCCAAGTCTTCTCCCCAACTCTCTGTCTCTATTCCACACACTCATTTATTCACACACGCGGTATTTCCTGAAGTCTGAATCACAGGCAGACTAAGTGTCTTGGCTCAGAGCGGTCATCCTGTGGGCTAACTGGCTATGTGACTGCTCTCAGGTTTACCACTCACTGCCAACTCACTCATACACACACATGCGGGGAGACACACTAATACACATTTGTGTATGTGACTCCTGACAGGTTTACTTTTTCCTCAGCAGTCACGAGGTCACTGCACTCGAAAACCTATTTTGCATACTAGCTTTGCATGTATATTGTACCACTCAACCCATGCAATTTTGATCCGTCACATACCCACTCATATCAGTACAATATAATTCTTGGGAAGTTTTACCAGTTTGCATCTTCCCCTGATTCCCAATGGATAAAAACGGAAAAAAACAGAGTATAGGAAATGTAATGAATGCTGGCTCATCTGTCTGTGTTGTGCTCAGTCTAGACTTTCTGTTGACTTGCATTAGCAGTAATGTTTTTGCTGGTGTGTGTGTGTAATCTCTGTGGGAGAGAGGAGATGAAGAGTCAGACATACAAATAGTACCTTGGCTTGGTGTTACAGGCAGCACTAAGCCAGCAGCTCCACAAATAGCTGCCTAATAAGCTACTGCACTGATGAAGGATTGTGTGTGTTCCCACCCGCTCCGGTTAAAGGTAAACAAAAATTGGCATATAAAAGTTGGTCCTGTGACATTTTCCAAAACAAATACACACACTGCTCCATGAACCGATTCACTGGCCCCATGTGACCATGCCCTATCTCTGTCTCTCCTTTGACATGACTCAGCAGCTCGTCCTCATCTACCTGCTTAGCTCATCTGATTAGCCGGTCATGTGTCCCTGTCCCATCTGAGCTCAGAGAAATATTGGCAACTTGCAGCTTTAACATTTACACTCATTCATATTTACCCTTACATAAACTCTTTTAACCTGCAGACATAAACAGTAACATGCATAGATGCCTCTCACAATGCTGCAGTTTTCAGGGGGGTACAGGATATGAATGAGATGAGTCTTGACGCAATGCTAAACAGGTTTAAGGAGGATAGAAATCCAAACAGTTAATAATTTAATCGCTAAGGTTTGAAATAAAAAAATAAATAAAAAAAAAATAAAAAAAAATAATAATATATATATATATATATATATATATATATATATATATATATACTGGTAAATGAATTAAATCACAAGCTAAATGTGAAAGATACATTTGGAATTAGCTGAAATAAATGGTTAGATAGTGGATCAATAAGATTAGCTTAAATGTTGAAATAAATTTGCTTATAGCAATGATTAAAAGCCAAAAATTGCTAAAGGCGCTCCCTTTAAATAGACAAGCAAAGAAATGGATGAATTAGCTAAAAGTCAGGAAAAAACAGTTAAAGTAGTAAGCTTAAAGTAATCAGTAAATGGTTTTTAAAAAAGCTGGCTAATAGTGCTAGACAGTTTAATACCTATAGTTGCTAAACTTCATAATCAGTTGAAATAGTTGGCTAAGGAATAAATAAACATATTGTTTTAAACAACTAAAAGTAGTGAAAATAGTTGAAATGGCTTAAAGAAATGGATGAAATGCTAGCTAAAAGTGACTGTAAAAGTTGAAAAAACCTAGCTAAATGTAAAGGACCAACATTTTAAAAGCTACCTGTAGTTCATAAACAGTTGAAATAGCAAGCTAAAAGTAGCCATGTGAAAACCATAGTTGTAAAGCTAGCTTCTTATAAAGAATAAATGGTTTTTATTGCTAGCTAAAAGTAGACCTATAGGTAGGCTAATGGATAAACATTTTTGAAAGCAACTGAAAAGTAGCTGATAAACAGTTGAAATGGTAAGATATTAGTATTGTGAAAATAATAGATTAGCTATAGCTTATAGCTTAGATTCTTAGAATAATGGATATCCTAAATGGTTAAAATTGCTGGCCAAATGTAACACAAGATGTTTTGCTGTAAAGCAATTTACAAATACAATAATGTTAGGATATATTTAAATGAAGATTTCTCTATATGTCAAATAGAAAATAAAAAAAGTCTAAAGGTCAAAGTTCAGTTATATTTGTCATCAGTAATAAACTTTATTGTCAGACACATTTCAGCTTGTGACCTTTGTCACGGTCAGGTTAATTGGCAAAAAATTACAGCACATTTTCATCCATTAATTTACCACTCAATGCTCTGTCCTTTGATTTGTCATCATTCTTAATTCTCTAATCATCACCTGTCATACAACATTATCTATAGGGTTAATCTGACCTGGCCGTGTTGCTGTGTCTCACAAGTAACGTGGGAAAGTTTGAATCCACTGACTATATAGATTACCTTTGTACCTGCATTGGGTCACTGTCTGTAAATACACATTTATGGCTTTATGACTGTTGGTCAATCATCTGCTCACAAAGTCTACGATACACGTGTCTGTTTCCATGTTGAGACACATCAATGTCACACTTTCCAGCTTGTGAGTGGAAGTTACTGGTTTTAACTGGAATTTATAAAACTATCTTCAAACCTGCCAGCTGCCCTACAGATCACCTGTGGGTCTCTGATTTTAAATCTGCCAACTGGTTCAACCAATGGGATAACTTATCAGCATTATGCACAAATTTCCCTCACGGGGGATCAATAAAGTTTATCTTTATCTTTATCTTTATGAAATCAAATGTAATCTGCACATGGACACATGGATGGCTGAAGTTGTTTTAGGGGGAAATCCAAAGCTTCAGCCCCCACCTCCCTGGCCTACAGTGCCTGAGGTGTGAAAGTCTATTATGATATGAGGCAGTGTGTTACTACAAATAGAACAGGCCTACGTAAATGGTCAAGTTGACTGTGCATTTCTGTAAAGCATGTATTACCTCCATTATAAGTGCAACAGAGTGAAAACTCATCCCTCTGTCTTTGTGCAGAGGCCATTGATGGGGAGATTTTGGACTGAATGGAGAGGATAAGTCATTCAGCAGGCCTTGAATGGAGAAGAGCAGATTAAATAGACCATGTGTTATCCCTGATTACACTGGCACTGAAATGAGAGCCCTTTTACGTGATCCTCCCGCACAGTTCTATTGTCGTTCACAAAATTGTCTCACCATAGTTAGTCATACCCCCGTGGAGAAATGCTGCTGTTTGTCAACTAAAAAGGAATTATCAGAGAGCAGGGAGACCACGGAGGAAAAGCAAAATACATCAAGTTTTTATTTACAATAATGCAGTCATGAAAGAGAGACTCCAAGACCATTTCAGAAAACCAAAATAATCTCAAAGTGCTTTTTCAAGCATTGACAGTATTTTAAATCCTTCACCAATAAGTACTGAAATGAACTAATTTCAAGACATTTTCTGACATTTTAAAAGAAAAGGTAGTCTCCATAGTATTCCATCAAGTTGTACTCTCTGCG